CTGGCAACTACCATATTTTATTATTTCAGTGAAAAGAAAATTCCATGCTCTCATGTGGAGGAATCTGCTAACAAAAACAAAGGAAATAAAAGAAACCACTGGATTTATCTCATGAAAATATTTCACAAAGCTCTGTTGCTCTGCTGTCCTTCACAAATTGTTATATAGCACAGGGTTTTAGGGTTTAACACAAACCCTCTTTCACATCCAGCTTTTGATCTTTCTTCCTGACCAAGATTTTTTAGCTGGTTTAGCTGGTTTTGCATTGTAATCAAAAGACATGCCAATAAAGCCATGAGAGAAGGATATTCTGCAGTAGGAGTGAGGTAAGCACATTGAAAGTGATGCTGGAGAGCCAGCAGCAAACTCCCAAGTGAGAGTGAGCTGTGAAAGAGGAGCAACTGATCTGGAAAGGAAGATCTAGGTAAATCTCTGTAGGAAAGCAGAGAAAAAAGACTTGAGGGCATCAGGTAGTTGCTATTGGAAGGAGGCAGCAGCAAATGGTGAAGAACTTGGTGTTTGGTGCTGGATGAATAAGAAGGGGCAGCCAAAGCTGTATGCTGTGCACTTCACGGTGTCTCAGATCTGGAGCCCTGCCAGTGCTTCTGTAACTGTTGCTAGGGAAGCACCAGCAGCCTTTTTCCAAGGGAAGAAGATTAAAATAGCTGTGTATTTTTACTTAGAAAATTCATTCCGGATACACCCTCCTCTCATTCTGTCTGCTGGTTTTGTATTGCTGGTATTGTGTTGGAAAATAGAAAGCTGTTAAATTGTCTTGTTGCTTGTGTTAGGAGCAGCTCCTGCTCCAGCCCCCTCTGCACTGTACTGATATATTGTTGTCTTGTGTGCTCAACAGGTACCTCTGTCCCAAATTGCCTTCAGTGCTGCACCTCCTCCTCAGATCCTGTACAATCCTGCCCAGCAGATCCTGACCTACGCTGGGTTCTGTCCTTCTGCAGCAACAATTTCTACCTATCCCTCCTACCCACTGCCTCTTCAGGTACAGCACAGACACACACCCCTCTCACACCATCACAAAAGCATTACCTGCTGCTCAGTACAAACTCTGCAGAGGCAAGTCTTAGCAGGATCCCAGCTCCCAGATTTGTCTGTGGGATGACTTAGTCTGTGCCTAGTTTTCTGGTCTGTTCTCAGACCTCAGGATTTCTCTGGTTGTCCTTTGGACTCTCACCTGCTGGTGAGGTAAGAGTTGCCAAGAGTAGAGAGAGAACGGGGTAGAAACACATGAAATTAACTGAAAATATTCATGTAAGTAGTCATGAGGATCCATTGTGATGGATTGATGGCATCCCAAAAGGGCTGCACACTTAGGTGTGGGGAACTAAATTAAGTTTTAGCTTAGAGTAGAAGACCCTGACTGAGCTGGTCTACCCTTTAGAGTCACTAGTGGATTATCTCAGGTTAAAGATATATGACATTTCATTCCTGACATTTCATTCCTCAGTCCTCTGTCCACTGAGAATTAGAAATACATTGCATTTACCCCAAATTCTTATCTGCACTCCAAAATAAACACCATTATTTCCCTATATTTCTACTTTTTCAAATAAGTCTGTTCATTTATCTTCCTTCACTTTCACAACATTGAGAGGCAGACACCAGGAGCTGTTCCCAAGTCAGAAGAGGTTAGTAAGAAACACTGGAATCCACTGGGATGGTTAGTAAGAAACAATAGGAAAACTTAACTCTGTTCCTGGGGAAAAAAGTAAAAGCAAGCCACCTCCCTGTATGTATGAACTCATTATGTTGCAGTTTGGAGAGAAGTAATTTCTGCATCAGTATATGACTTTTAAGAAATCAAAATAAACTTATTCAGAGGTACAAATCATGAATGATGGAAGCAGAAGTGATTAGGAACAGCCAGAAGCTTAATTGTCATCTGCTTCCATTGCTTGAGAGCTGTGGGCTGAATCCATGGGGCTAGAGGTCTTCATGTTCCATCTAAGTGCTCCCATGGCATCCCAAAAGGGCTGCACACTTAGGTGTGGGGAACTAAATTAAGTTTTAGCTTAGAGTAGAAGACCCTGACTGAGCTGGTCTACCCTTTAGAGTCACTAGTGGATTATCTCAGGTTAAAGATATATGACATTTCATTCCTGACCCTTTGCTGAATCCAGTGTCTCACTGAATAAATGCTGGCCAGAGAGGCAAAGTCTATAAAATAAATCAGCCATATGGCAAAAAGAAATGGTGATAGCAGGAGTGCATTTTGAAAGGATGTAACCAGCATTTCTTTTGTTTACTGTGACATGTGCCAACAAAATAATACATCCCTTACTGGTACAGTTCAGTCCCAACTAGTCTTGGTAACAGGCCAGCCAGCTGGGCAGGTCATGGTCCTGATTAGGTGGGCAGGGACTGCTGGTGATGACAGCACTTATGGGTTGTGCCAGCTATTCCTGCTAGAGAGAACTCACTGCAGAAACAATTCCAGGCAAACAGATGGAAGCAGTGGTTGCAGTTTGAGAAGGGAGGGAAGCAACAACTCTGAAATAAATAAAGCCCCAAGCCAACCCAAAACCACCACACCTAAGTTTGGAGGTGATGTATCTAGCAGGTCTGTCAGTGTACCTGCACTGCCTCAGAGAGTTAAAGGGCATAAACAACCCTTCCTGTTGGGATGTCCCCATTCTCACTCACTAAGGCACTGTGTGATACAATGCAGGACAACATTCTCCTTGCCAGGAGGGTTTGATCCAGGGCAGCAGCCCCTGCTCACATGGAGCCCCATGGAGGAAGCAAACATCTTGGCATGGGGTCTGCCAGCCCTGGACAGCTCTGAGATGCCATTGTCCAAGGGCAGCCCTGGCCCTGGCCTTCTAGATTGTGGCTATTAATTTTTTTTAGCAGCAGGGAACATCACTTCCCCAGATTTTTCATTTCACTTGAAAAAGATCCATGATTACTTTATCTTGTTTTTAAATTCTAGTCACTTCAGGTTCACTTTAAATCTGAACTTGAGGGGAGCTGAGTCCAAGTCTTCAGATGAAGCCCACAGACTGGCACGTGCTATCATATGAGAGGAGTAAAATCCTCACCCTCTTGAAATCAGTCACAAAACTTGGTTTAAAGCAGTAGTAGGATTTTATCCAGAATATTATTCCCTACATGCATTCTTTTGTTTTAATGAACCCTGCTTGTTCCTGAAGATAGGCTACTTCCTAAGCTCTGTTTATTTAATGTGCCTTTTTCAGGCAAAGCCCCATCACAGCTGACTGCCTAAGAGGGAGACACATGCCCACCTGTAAAATTTTCTCTTAAGAGGAATCTGCATTTGGCAAATAATTATGCAAGTATTATAACTGAGATTAATTACATCTGAGGTAATTTAAATTTCACAGTGAGGCCTGGAAAGGAGCAGGTACACGTAACCTAATCAGTCAGTCAGGTGCTGTGCCTCACCCAGGAAGCCAAGCATCTTTTCCTGCAGAAATTCCTGTTCTGCTGTATTGCCTAGCTGTCTGCACAATGTCTATTAAAAATGACCTGGGTTACAGATGGAATCCCTTGTTTCACTAGACACCATCATTGCTACATTTAAGCAGGTGCTTTAGAACTAAAATTAATGTTGTGCTGCAATGCATGAGAAATTTAATTGCGGGGCTTATTATGTAACACGTGGCAAACAACACAAAGCTGCAATGGGGTTGTAATCCTTTACTGAAAAAGTTCCTTTTCCTTGTCTGATTCAGCCTGCCAGCAATTTTCCAGGAACATCATCTACTGACATTTCTTTATCAGAAGAAACTCAGCCTCCATCTCAGTCCAGCTCCAGCTATGGTCTTCCCCCAAATGCTCCAGCCCTCTATACACCAACTTACTGCTTGCCTGGGGAAAAGCCTCCACCATACGCACCATAGAACAAAGAGTTTATTTTAGTAGCTGGTAGGCTTTTCTTTTGTTTTAAAGAAACCTCTGGAAACTGTGCTGTGCAGGCACTAGACTTCCCAAAGGAGCCCAGCACAGAGTTACTGCCACTCTGCTTTTAGCCTGTGAGCAGGGCAAAGCCCTGGAGCAGTGAGGGCAGGCATGTCACCTGCCTGTGTGCCTGCAGTCAGATGTAGTAGAACTTTCTGGCTACTGTAAGCATGAGATGTTTCCCTCCCACTCCACTGCAGAATAGATTTTCTTCAAGAGGAAAAATGAAGAAAACACTCCAGATATGTGTTCTGCTTTCATGAACCAATATTGAGGGGTTTTAGCCTGTGTTGTCTGAGTGAGTAGCTGGGAGCTCCCAGAGTCAATAATTTTGGCTAGCAAGAGTTTGTTTGCTTGTAGTGTTTAATAACTCTTCTGGTGAAAGTGTTGTACCAATAAAGTGTGGCAATTATTTTACAATAAAGTTCACTGTGTGTGTTTATACTATCCTAAGGCTGTGTATATTTGGAAGGAAAGGAAAACAAAAGAACAGAGGAAGAAGTACCCTACCAAATAGTTTCTCTTTTCAAGTTTCAGATGGAAAGGCTAATTCTATTTGGACTGTTTTAGCTGAACTTTGTGCCAGTCCCGTCTTCATAATAAAATGTCACGTTAATGCACTAAAAATACCATTTCCAGACATGTATTTTAGGCTACACTTTAGTGTTCAAATTAATTCCTTTCTAGTCAAAAGAGCGCCACAAGCAAAACCATTTTAGGTTAAATGCCTCTTATTTATTTTTAAGTTAATCCAAGACCTAATGCAGGTATTTCACAATGACTGAAAGAGAGTGAATGAAAGGATGAAGGGAATGAAGGGGCCCAATTCCTTTTTTAATGTATTTATTTTCTCCAAAGGCTAAGCAACAATACCTTTGGCAGTGCCACCGACAGGAAAAAAGCCATATCCCTGTTGTCTGCACCCTGCCTCCTCACATTAGCTGGGATTCCTTTTGGCACACACTTGCCTTATTCTGGGACAGGGGTACTTACAAACAGCATGAAAACCCATTTAATGCTGCATCCTTTCACTGCATTTTGCTCCTGCAGGAAGGGTGTTGGTGCTACTTGCTCCATAGATCTTACAGTCTAGACAGCAATGAAGCTCTAGAAATTTCCTGAAATGCCTAAGAGTAAAACAAGGAATGGAAGGTATTTCTTATTAACATTTTAAGCAGCTGCTCTGTATTATGAAGATATTGAAAAAAAACTAAATAAACAAAACCAGCTTACTTGACAGTTTCCTTTGAAAGGAAGGGACACCATCAGACCTGCTTAAAATGGAAAAAAGAGTGATCATCCTTTTGCATAACACTTTGCAACTTGCAAAAAATATCTCTTAATTCATGTGTTTTACCTCTATGTGTAAAAAGCCGATTCAGTACTGATACACATAAGAAAAGAGATTAATTTATAAGGACCATAAAAGCCACCTTTTGTTCAATTAAGGTTTTTCTGAGATGCAAAGTTTTAGGCCAGTGATGAGGTGCCTTACTCACCTTGTTGACAAGGTGAGTTATACGAACATGGCTGAGAAAAACAGAAGTCAGAAAAGAGATCATTTGTTTTGTTTTAAACATTAATTTAATGCATCCCAAATGCTTAGTTCTTGTGCAAATACATGCTGTGAAAAGCACAGTCACTCTGATTATGAAGTGGACCTACACATTTACTTCTTTTTACTTGCTATGAATACTACCAGGGGAACCACCTGGGTCCATTTTGAGGACTCAAAGTCCAGAACAGACTTGATCCCATTGGGTTGAACACCTAGACTAACTAAACAAGGATGAAATCAATGTTTCTCTTGGGTTGAAGCAAGTGACTGAGAAGGAATGGAGGAATGCTTATTGCAGCTACCTCTTCTTCCAAACCTTTCTTCAGTATGGTACTGCAGTAGGGTATTAAAAAAATTTATCTTTACACTCTGCCCCCCCCTTGCCCCCCACCTCTTCTATCATTCTCCAGACTGAGAAATTCAGAGTTTCTCTTCTAAACCACATTTTGAGTCATTGTGGTCTGTGCAAAACATCTACACATATATGCACACATATGCAAACTTTGGGAGCAATTTCTGCTCTGAATTTGAGAATTAAATGCTCTTGTACACGTGACATTTAGTATGGAACTGCAGAGTACCACAACATACCACAGGATTCATGTTTCCAGGACCCAAAATAATTCTGGCCACATAAATAGTGTCACTTACATTAACACAAAAGTCAGGCATGTTTGTGATTCATTTATGCCACATGGTAGTTTTTTCGGCACTACCACAGAGATTTTACCAAAATTCCAGACATGAAACTATTTTGCTAGATTGTTTCATTTGAAAAGAACAAAGTAAAACAGGGCTTGTTTTATCTTCTTGGTTTAAAAATAGGTGTTTTCCGAATCTGTTATTTTTTTCAGTGGAGTTACTCCAAGTCTAAAAGATGGGAGATTTTAGTGGTCGAACCCCAGCTGGCAGCCCAGCCTCAGGCAGCCACTCACTCATTCTCCCTTGCTGGGATGGGGGAGAGAATCAGAGGGGTAAAAGTGAGAAAACTCATGGGCTGAGATAGGGACAGTTTTATAGGTAAAGGAAAATCCGCACACACCAGCAAAGCAGAGCAAGGAATTCATCCACCACTTCCCGTGAGCAGGCAGCTGTTCAGACATCTTCAGGAAACGCTGGGAAATGTCACGTGGAACAGTGATTTGGGAAGACAAAGACCATCACTCTAAGTGTCCCTCCCCTTCCCCTTTTGTCGCCCAGCTTTATGTGCTGATCATGAGGCCACATGGTGTGGGATATCCCTCTGGTCACTTGGGATCAGCTGTCCCAGCTGTGTGCCCTCCCAACTCCTTGTGCATCCCCAGCCCCCTCACTGGTGGGGTGAGAAACAGAAAAGGTCTTGACACTGTGCAACCCCAGCTCGGCAACAGCTAAAACATCCCAGAGTTATCAACATTGTTTCCAGCACAAGCCCAAACTACAGCCCCATACTGGATCACAAATTGATCCAGAGTCATCAGTGGTAACATAAAGCACTTTCAGGAACAAGGTGGTTTCCCTTGCTCAACTAAAAAAAAGCAAAAACATAGAACTACGCCTGGGTTTTCCTATCCATGCACTGTCTGTCTAGTGGGAAATTTCCTTTCAAACTTGTGTCTGGTCAGAGCTGGCAGTAGGTCCTTCTCCAAGTATAAATGAGTAGGTTGGTTCAAAGTGATAAAGTTCTGTTCTTTTCTGCCCTACTGCATCACTGCTGATTGTTTTACTTGTGATAAGAAGCTATGATGCCATGTCTAAAGGCTAATAGAGTACCTTTCTCTTCTCTGCTAAATAAAGCAGTGATCCTTGCTAGAAAATATGCTTGGAATAGTCTTCCCCTTCTTGCCTCTTTTCCTCTGGGACAGTTGTATCTTCACAGTTTGGTCACAGATGTTGCCGCACATGAGGATTATTAAACTAATGTGTTATCTCCTTATCTGCTTAGGGAAAACATAACATGACTGACCAAGAATAATTTATAAAAGACCTTGTAGAATTAGACTTTTTTCATGCTAATCCTCTGAAGGATGGTGTAACCTTAGCCACCCAATACTTGGATTTTGCATATACCAATATTACTCAGCATATTACCAATATTACCACAGCATATACCAATATTACTCAGTTTATTAATAAATTGAGTAATATTGGTATATGCTGTGGTAATAAAACTGCATATTTTTTTGTCTTTGATGCAAGACAAATACCAAATAAAACATGATTTAAGTGATTCAAGAGAGACTAGGCAAAGCCCATCCCAACTTCAGAAAGATAGCTGAAAAGTTGAACACACTTTATGGCTCTAAACCTTTCCTGCATAAACACCCACAGATATTCTCACCTCATGCAGTTCAGCCTGGCTAACTCTCACAGCTCAAGCCTCTCTGCTCCCACTAGGCTCACAGTGAATGAGCCAACCTAAAAATGCAGCAGCAAAAATATGTTATCACCAGATAATATTCTCCAATTCTCAACACCTCATCATTTACTCCAGCAGCTATTGACACAAAAGCTGTATGGCTTTCAACTTCTTGAGTCTTTCCTTCTAAATGTTTCCTGCTGACCCAACTTCATTTTCCATTTTCTGTAGACCAAGAGTTTTTCTAAAGGTCGCAACTGAGTCTTTTTCTGTGGTACCAGAAAGAGAAGCTCTAGCCATAAGAATAGCAGCCACCATTTGCTCTGCAGCTGAGAAGATATGGAACACTGATGGAAGCATATAAACCCCAACCCTCAACCTTCAAAAAAAAACCAGCCCTTCCCCTCTCCCCCACCTTCTCCCAGAGCAACCCCCAGAATCAGGCACAGTCTGAGTCACTGTCTCCAAATACCAGAATACAGAATAATCTCAGTACAGGTAAATTAAAAACTTGTATGTAAATATTTTATTCTCTCATATTTTGCAAATCAGAAAGCAGTGTTTGGTAATAAAAAATAATACAGAATTATTATTTTTCTTCCAGTCCACACTCATATATTACCAGGTTTCCCACATTACAGATGAAACTGTCTCTTACAGTCTAAAGATAGTATTCACTTTCAGTACATTCTGTACTTTTGACTTATTTAATATTAGTCTTCTGAACTATTTACAAATATATTACAACCTTTAAACCTCAAAGCAAAGAGTATTTCAATAATCAATCTGACATAAGGATCAGTAGCTTCTACATAACTTCAGTGTTTAAGAGAAACTATACACGCAGTGCAGTAGATCTGAATAATTTATATCTTTTAAAAAAAGAAAAGCACTGAAAGTTTCTGAGTATAAAACTTTCGCATTGCAGTGGTACCTACTGACCCTCCTGGACTGGAGGACAGGAGTGTGAGGTGATGTCACTGTGCTTGTAGAGAGCCTCATCCAAGTCCAGTGTGGTGTTGTTCAGCTTGAGGGTCATGCAGCCGTGGTAGGAGGCGGTGACCGGAGTGGAGGTGACAGGAACGTCTGTCGGAAAAGGGAGATAAAAGTCTCTGACAGCTGCCTTTAAGTAAACACCTGCCCTGCCTAGGCTCAGATGGCTGTGGCTCAATGAGTTCATGCTCATCTCTTCCCATGCTGGCATTTCTACCTCCCCCTGCCCCCTTGCCAGAAGGCAAGAGCACAATCCCAGACGTGAGGAAAACACCATCTGTTCTGGTGCACCAAAGCCCTTCTCCCAGGCTGAACCCTTCCTCAGCTGCTCTGTGCCTCTGCAAGGCCTCCTGGATGAAACCTTGTGCTGCACAGCTTCACTGCAGTGGCACAATGTGTTCACACAGCCCCATGTTTTCCCCCTCTCCATCTCCGAACTCTGCTTTGTTACTGGTGGAGATGTTAGACCTCCCTCTAATGTTCTTTCTCTTCAAAATAGCTTCCAAAAGATTATGGGAAGAATTTTATGACAGGAAAGCACTTCCCATATGCTGCCTCTACCACTTGCTGGATTTATCTTTACCACGGTTTTGCTGCGTATGAGCACAGGAAGGTTGCTGACCTTCATCAGCAAGGTGCTGGAATGCATCAGTTGAATTGGTCAGACTAATGAGACTAATTTTTACTGTGGAGATCCACTGTTCTTTTAATCAGTTTACCAGAGACAGAAAACAGATGGCAAGGAAGAAGACACTAAGTACAATCCAATAGACTAGAGGAAATTAGTCAATCTTACTACTAACTTCTGTAATTATCATACACACACTGACTGTAAACAAACAAAAACTCTGTAGAGTAACATAACAACAAGAAAATCTACATGAGCTCTGTCCTCTACCTTTCCCCAAAGGTCTTTAGTTTATTTACAACCCAAAGCTGACCCAATCAAACTGGTTGTGCAATGGAAAATAATGAACACCTCAAAGAATATTTAACTTCACAGTGATTCAGGCAGCTAAATAAATCACTTATCTTTACATCGAAGCAAGGACAACTTGAACAATAGGTTGTCCTGTTGACCCAAGATTATATAAAATTTAAAGTGTTCTGCCTGGAGATATGCAGGGCTGGTGTGCTCAGACACAGCTCAGACAGAATCTAGGACTGAGTGGGAGAGAGAACATTTGTGGGAGATCTGTAAGCCACAAAGAAATACTATAAACCTCTTCAGCTTCCTGGGGGAGAGCTACCATTGCTCAGTAGTTGCTTTATTTATGATGTTATCTATTTCCCATTCCTCCCCATTTGCCAAAGTTTATCTGCAAAGTCTGCTGAAGGAATGCAGCATCTCTGTTGTAATACCTTACAGGAATGTAAACTAAATTTTGAGTCAGAAGAGTTGAAGTTGTGACTTAACAACTTGAAGACTCGTCTAAGGAGACAGGCAGATTGCTGTTACATGTGCCACAGGGCTGACTGAAAGACAGTGTGGGCTTTCAGATGGATTTGTAAGAGATTAAAAAGAAATTAATTTTTTTCATTGTATTCTAAATTATGTGAAATATTTCATTTTCTGTTATGACTAGAAATGGATCTGTCCAAAATGTGGTCATTAAAAGATTTGAAAGCCTAGTTTAAAGGTTCTTTCACCTGGTGAAATGCATATTTTCTGAAAAATCACCTATGCATCACATAAATTACATAATTTAGGATTTACCAGAACTGAAAAGCCTATAGAAAATGTAATTAATGTCTACATGTTCTCTCTTATCTGTTGAAACTCTAAGTAGTATTTCTTTCACATCTGCAATATTAGCTGTGCTTAGGATCGGGCTTAATATGTATTTGGATCCAGAATTCTTTCTTTCTTTGTGGCAGATGGAATAAAGATGTGAAGTTTGACCACTATACTGTTTTTTCCACAGGGTATGGAAGCATGGAAAAACTAAAAACTACGTAATGTTTTCAAAATCTGAATGAGCCAAACTAAATTAGATCTGACCATTTGGTATTGTTACTTAACCCAGAGTGATTAATCCAACTGAAGTGCTGAAATGTTTATTTATTTGGCAAATGACAGTGTTTCTCATGCAAGTGCTGGGTTCCTCTCAATGGCAAAAGCAGAGTGCTGGCAGAAATTCCTGCTGCTAAGCACAACAGATCAAAGGGGGGATAGCAGCTAAACCTACAGCATCCAGCTGAGCCTGAGCTGCCACAGCCATGGTACCTCACCCTTAGCTCTGGCAAATGAAAACCAGGGCTGCACCCAGCACAGGTAGTCTAAACCACAGAGAACCTGGGACAGTGACAGAATGGGATGATTTCTGAGCTGTGGAAATCTCCACTGTGCAGCTGAGAACAGCTTAAAAGAAAGCAGGCAACCTCTATTGCCTGTGCAATGGCCAGCTTAGATAATTTAATCTGAGAGTAGAAAATGCCACGTTTGGGATTTCAGCCTCCTTCCTGCCACTGTGTGAATGTTCCAGAGTATGTGGCCTCCCCCTTTCAGGTGTGACTGGGAGCCATTTGCATCATCAGCATAAACCCTCTGTAAACTCTTGCTCCTGGTGGGGACAGCCACACCATGTGTCCTAGTACCTGTGGCACCTCAGCCACCCTGTTCCAGCCTGACTGCTTCAGCACCTCACAAGAGGCCAACATTTGTACCTCTCCCTTGCTTGGGCAAGTAAGGGCAAGATTTTGCTTAGCTGCTGGCATCATGTGCATCAGAGACATAAGTGTTCTTTAATAGCATTCCTCAGCAGAAGGGACTGATAAACCTGTTCAGGCAGAACAAGAAACAAACTCCCAAACTTGGGAGATGAAAGATGAAAGTTTGATCTTACAGGTTCAGAAGAGAGGAGCAAACTGACCTCCCAGAAGAAGCCCTGTTGCTGCTGAAAAGCCAGAGACACTATAAATGGTGTTAACCCCTTGGTTGTGCCCTACATGCCCCTGGCTGGGAGGCAGTCTGTTAACTGTGTCATGCTGCAATCACTTCAAAGAGCATCAGCCAGGGACAATCCCCACACTGGGCTTCCCAAGTTTCAGGCTAAACCCCCTGAGGTCCTAGAAGTCCCCTCAAGGAGTGCTCCCATGGATTCACTACATTAATGGAGCACTGCAGGAACCTGTAGCCCAGCTCCTATGGATTTTACCGGGTTTAAGATAATAACCCAGTTTACAGCAATCGTTATTTTAAAATCATGATTAAATGATAAAAAAATCATTATAAATTATTAAATCATTCTTATTGTTGAACAAGCAAAACCTCCTCTTTCTATTTCTGCCTCCAGCTGCCCTCAGAAGGACACAATCATTCAAGCAAAGTGCAATCCCTGATCCATTATGTTCCTGCATTGCAGACAAAGCCTGCTCAAGCAGAAACAGAGAAGGACTCTCACAGCTTGAACAGAAACAGTGTTCCTGACTCCCAGCTCAGCAAAGAGAGTTGGAAGTCTGTGGTCCATGGTACAAAACTGGAGGCTTACCTGGCAATCCTCCCACGTATGTCTTTGTTGACTGCAAAGAGCTCTCCAGGATGGACAGACTGTCCTCCAATTCAGAGATGCTTAGTTCACTCTCTCCTGCTAGCCCATCCACCCTCAGGGATAAGTGATCTTTCTTGAGGAGGACATCTACAGAGTGTTCCTTTTTATCACAGAGATTTATTGCCAGTCTGGACACAACTGTGTTCTCCAAGGCCACGATGACAAACTGAACAGCAAGGGAAAGAAAGAAAAACAGGCAATGAGCAGAAAAATACCTAGCTACACTTACCCAGTACCAAGATGAGCCCAATGTGCCCTTCATTACAAATATTTAGCAGAGTCTCCAGAGAATTAGGCTTATTACTATTGCTGATTGTGTTCTGAGCTCATTTGCACAGATGAAAAACAATTGAACCATGAGACTAATTCTTGAAACCGTGTTTTCTCAGAGAGGGTTCTTAGTGGGTCTTGCAGAAATCATTATATTGCACTGGGGACAAACCAACTGGAGCTGCTGTACTATAAATGAAAATTGGCTCATGGGATTTAGTGAAATCCTTCCTGGGTTACCCTTGTGGAATGCCAGAATTTAGCCCTTTGTTATGAATGCCATTGCAAAGTATCTTCAACACTCCACCATGACTGGCTTTTCCCAGCACCTTTCCCACACCTAAAGCCTGTCTCTTGGTTTCTTTGGGATAGGTACTGATAAGCAAGAATGGAAATCCCTGGTTTATGGCACTAAACAGTTTCTGTACCAGAAAAAAAAAAATATGACTACATTCAAGAGAGCAGTTCTATCTTTTACCTAGGCCACATTTGCCAAGAGGTCCCTATGAGTATCTGACACACACCTGTAAAAGGCAGAACTTCAGGCAAGCACGGTTGTTTCAGACTATGCTCTGAACAGGTGGGACAAATAATAAGGCAGGCAGCAAATCTGACAGCTGTTTTTGAAATTGACTTCCAGTTACCAGGAAAGAGCAAGGAAACTTCTCTACAGAAATACTTGTTTGTACCTGTTGCTTCAGTTTCTTTGTGGAGTGATAGTCAATCAGAGATAGTGATAAAGGGACAGATGCTTCTTCTGTAACTAGGGCAAACAGCACACCAGTATCTGTTGCTGGCTGAATTACAGCATTTACTTCAATTTCCCAATTTGTCTTGGTTTCATTTCCAGAAGAAGGTTGCACTGCAGAAAAAGAAATTCATTGGACAATGTGTCAAATGGGTAGGCTGTTCAGTTTCTCCCTGGAGAAGACCATAGGCAGATGAGCATCTGGAGGGACTGCCACATTTTTTTTTAATTTAAAAAAAATAATTCCAAAGCACTTGAACATAAAATTGGACAAGAAAATGGCATCAGTTTCCTTTTGTTACCTTATGCATTCTGCTGCTTTTCAGAATGTCAAAGGATAACATAAAGCTTTTTATCACAAAGAGTTAGTCAAATTCCCATGGCTGCCAATCTGACACATTCAAAGAACTGCTGCAAGATAGGTCAATCGAAAACCAGTTTTTGAACCAGTCTGTCCAAAGATCATTGAGGAATCTGAGTTGAAATTTGACATGCAGGAAACATTTCTATGAAAGCCTGTATTAAACTCAAGAATTGTATAATACAATACATACTACACTCATCACCTATTCAAACTCTTCCTGATCACAAATCTCTCAAAAGTGTGGCATGTTTTATTTCACCTGTTGAACCCTGAATTAAATTTTCTGGTATCTTCTTACTGCCTCAGTACCCTAATAATTTAAAAGGTAATGCAGGCTGCAAAGAAAGACATCAGCCTGCTCCTGCAACCTCCCTTCACAGGACTATTACCTCTGCTAGTTCACCACATCTTGAAATACAATAATCCATTCTTTATAGGGCTTACCACTGCAAAGGAAAAAGAAAAAAAAAAAGAAAGAAAGAGAATGATTGTTTGGAAAAAAATGCAGGTGCTGAGGCCTTATCTGCACTTCATCTGCATTTTAGATGCTGCCTTTCTTTGCAACTTTTAAATCCCCGTGCTAAGTAATATGACAGACACCTGGTACTCCCTAATTTACGATGGCACAGCAGAAAAATCCACATAACACTGAACAGATGGCTCCTGCAGAGCAGGACTTACACACCATACCAAAGTAGATGGTCAGCATTTGTGTGGGTTCAGAAATACTGATAGCTGATTACACAGATAAGCAAACACAATAATCTAGAGCAATAAAAGGTGCCTTTCTGAGTGCTACATTAGTATGGACAAGTTTGATTTGAAACCTGTTATTACTGTATGCCAATTTCATTGGCTTCTATCAGAGACATGCTTAGTGCATTTGTCCCAAGTGTAAGTAACGACAGCCCATGATTAAAAGTGAATCTAAGACAATAGACAATATTAATTTTTCTGTCAATCATCATCTCAAGATACAGCAGTATGGCTTGCAAGTCTCCCTGTTGAGCAGGAAACAATGGTAAAGGACTGGAAGGACCTAAGCTGCTGACAGAGAGGTGTAAAGCCTCTAAGGCTGAGGATGAGCTGGAGCCAGTCTGGCTGTGAAATGTATTACTGGAGCTACACAGAAAGAACCTAATCCCTGCTGGCCATATTTGCACTGGCTTGAACTATCATTTACAGGCCTTCCTTCACTAAGAACCACAAGTTTAATCTTTTCTGCATCAATCAACAGTGAGTCTGGCACACACCTAAGTTTTAACACTGTTTATTACCCAGGTATAGCTAATGGCAGGACAAGAGGTCAGAAATAAAAAATCCCAGCCTACTTACTGTAAGTAAGATTAAACACAGCAAAACCTCGGCCAGGATAGAAAGAGCCTCGTCCTGCTACAGCAAAGCACTGCATCTTTTCATTCATCTTTATGGTCTCTTGGATGGAGGTGTCCTCCCCATTCAGCCAGTTCCATGCCCGCATGCAACCATCCAGCCGAGGGTTTATCTGGGAAGATAAAGCAGCATCTCAGGCCTCAAATGATTGTTCAGTGAAGAGGAATTGTGTGCAAAGGAATACTGAGTTATATCATCATACCAAACAGTAGAAATCATTTTGATGTGTCATGCACATGCAAACCAAGAGGCAGCAACCCCCATCCTGCAGCCCCAAGTGAGTGGTCAGTATTTCCCCAGGAAACTCTCCTGAGCTCAGTTTGTCTCCAGAGGCCAGGAGGGCACTAGCTAGTGCAGGTGCTGGTTTGGTTGTATTGGTTCTGTAAGCTCCTCTATGTGTTGCCCATCATTAATACAACTTATTGCTAATGCTCTGTAGCCAGAGCTCCATAATTCAGCATGGCAAATGCTGGAGGGCTAACTTAAGGCTGAAAATCCCAATCCTTTTTGTCATTGCAAACAACCTGCATGACACACAAGACAGACCTTGGAGCTGATCATGGTATAAGTTTTTGGGTTCTGGCTCAAGGAGGGGCGCCTGCACCACAAGACTGGCACACCACTCTGTACAAACCTCATTCCTTCCAGCTTCTAGTTAGGCTATTCTGTACCTAATGTCAGCATTAAAATGTGAGTCAGTGTGTAAAGAGAAGGCTTCTTGCAAAGTCTTTAAATCAGCACCACTACCCCCAATTAAGTGAAGGAGAGAGAGAATTAAGTGTCTGAGCCAGGATAAAAACCTGAGGAGTTTCTGGCCCTCAGTCCTAGATTCTGACTACACCCTGGGCTTACTGTTTCTGACAAGCAGTGGCCCTGAATGACTTCGGGTGAGGCACAGGAGCTGTGAGGCTCAGCCGCTGCACTCCCAGTCACAAAGCCTCAAGCTTGTCACCCAATTTAGGAATAAAGAGATGCAAATTTGGATTTCAAGGTGCCAACTCTGCTTGTGGTGGGCATTCAAAATGCCTGAGCAGCAGTTATTCCAGAAACGAAGCAATCATCCAATCTTACCCAAGGACTGCCTTAACTTCTATTCATATGCTGTATCTACTTCAATTAGGAGGAAATAAAGAAAAATAAGCTTCTGTTTTTCTTTGGGTCTCACTATAGTGACACAGCAAACAAATGCAGCAAATTGTGATTTGTTACACGTGAAGAACAAACTTTGGTCACAGCACAAAGAGTGCCCCTGATGTTGGTTCCAGACTTAGTAGGCACAGTGGCACCCTCACACAGCAGCGTGCCCACTGACCCCTCCCCAGGCCACTCCTGCTCTCCAAGCCAGCATGACCACTGTGGATTTTGTCATGTGCTCCAGTTTTGCTGTGCCCTAACTCTGCAGGTGGGATACATCTCACCCAAACTTACCAATAAAAAAATCTGGGGACTCAACTTTGCTACTGGCTTAGGCTCCTGCTATAGTCAATGGACTGAAAGCTGTATCCAGAAGGTGATAGTTCCACCTGTTTCAGGGCAGGTTGAACAGCTCTCAGGAAGGACCAACATTACTCCAAGAGAAGATGAACTCAAGCCCTTCAGGCATGCAAAGGAGCAGAAGTTATCGTGCCATACTTACTGGTAGAATAAGGTCCTTTGTTTTGAAAGGAATGCCTCCTACTGTCAAATTCAGCTGGTACACTCCCTTGTGTAGTGTAAACAGGTTTCCTGAGACAGCTATTTTCATAACTGCATCCCTGTTGACCTTTATAATCAAATTTCTTTCAAGTTCCTCAACAGAGATCTGAAAAAGTAAAATTCCAAATTGAGTTATTAAGTATGAATAGAACTTAGTATCTGCAGTTGCCGGTACAGGACAGACCACAGTGAAATCCCCAAGATAAAGGAATATTTTCAGTCCCCAAGCCTCTTTGTTCACCTTTTAAGTTACATTCCACCTTGATATGTAAATCTACACTAGAAAGCAGTCTGTGATTAACCGTAATGGTGAAGACAGTCCATCTACTTCAAAACAGCTACAGAAAAATGTGAGTGGATTAAATACAAGACTTTTGTAGGTTGCTTTATGTAAAATGTAAATGAAGTAATGAGTTATTAATGACAAACTTCCTATTGCAACTGCATGTGAAAGGAAAAGCTGGAAGGACAAACAAGATGTCTTTTGTTGGATTGGTGTAAGATAATGCAGAAGCCTCGCAGACCCAGTCTTTTAATATCAACCTCTTCAAAAAGCACAACATAGAATGGAATTTTTGAGAGGGTAATAAAAATGTGTAATAGGCAATAACTTTTCTCTCAAAAAAGCATCTGCAAATTTTCCTTCCATGTCTCTGAAAAGCTGCTTCTAGGAAGATTCTATTACCACTGAAAATTCAAAAAGATTTCATCATTTTGATTATGACCAGGTTGCACAAAGAAGCACTATAAAGCTTCTGTGGACGGAGAGAAGGTGAAGCCCAAAGCTGATGCACCAGACTGACCAGCAGCCAAGATTCTGCTGCCTTGGACATGGGTCCTGCTACCAGTGGGGTGTTCTCTGGCTGTAGCAGAAGACAGTCCCAATCCTTCTGTAAAGAAAGGAACACACCTCCACTATTTCATAATCTTCTTCCCACTCTATGACAGATACTCCACCTACTCACTCTTCATCTGTACAGCTCTGTTCCCTGGGACACCCAGAAGCTGCTTCTATCAGTGAGCTGCTGTACAAACCAATTATCTGTTTCAGAGGATGTTTAGACATGTCTTGCCCTCTTCCTGCTAGCAGGCCAGGTCCTGAGCATCTTTCTTTCTGTATTTTGACTAGCAAATACAGTCAAATCTCAAAATTGCTCTTATCAGCCATTCTGAGCTCTTGTGCTGTGGCTGTAACATAAAGGAGGACAGGGTTGAGCAGGTTTGTACCTGGGCACTCCCTTTGGATTGCAGTCTTCAGTAATCAAGATTAGGTGAATTTGATAGTGGGAAAGATTATTCACAGACTTTCCTCCTCTCATGAACCTTTTTCTTCTCTTGTGAATTCCAGTACAATCTGGTTTATATTGCTACAATACTGTTTCCACCTGCTGTGTTGCTCTGTGCCACATCCTACAGGACATGAATTTATTTGTCTGTAGCTTGCTTGTTTAAAGTAGCACCTACATCTCCAGACTGCATTTCATGGAGACACACCAGCCAGTCTCAAACAGGCTTTTTTGAGTATTGGATGGCTGTGAAGCCCATTCAGTGTGTGGGAACATAAGCCCACAGGCTGTGTAGCCAAAAACTCACACAGACACCTCTGCCCAGTGTCGTGGTCACCACTGCCCTGATGCTCTGGGCTGTGGAGTGCCACAAGGAGCTGGCACAGAGCATCTCCCTGCTCCTGGCACAGACCCTGGGCAGGCACAGAGCAAAAGGGAATTGGGAATAGCCAGCTGCAGCAGTGCCCATACTGTGAAGAAACACTGCTACTTACAGAGCCACCAGAATTCAGGGCCTTTTAAAATTTAATTAGATTGTACAGCAAGTAATAACATATAAATAAAAAAAAATTCTGAGTTCTTTAATCTTCTTCTGATCTTTAATACAAGCAAACACAAATCAGTGAAAACTTCCATAAGAGAAGGGGTTAATCCCTGTGGGAATTCTCAACAGATTCCAGTTTAGGAAATTACATTCTGCCTACTTTACAATGCCCTCTGGCTGTTTAAGCTCCTGCTTCTTATAGTCAAAGCTTAATTGCTGGTGCACCACCATCATATATAAACCAAAAGAGGAAGCATTTCAGTAGTTAGCATCCTGCTCCAATTCCCTACTCTTGTGGCAAGGAGAAGCTGCTTGCTGCCTGCCACCATGGCTTAGGGACATTCAGGAGGACAGTTCTCACAGCTAAGGGTTCCCATATGGTTAGCCATAGCAAGGGCAGGCAGCTTTGTGTTTTGGATTCATGCCCTGGATAGCTCATAGCACACAGCCAGCCTGTCCACTGTTTGCTGAAAAGCAAGTGGACAGCACGGAAAAGGGACAGACCTACAGTCAGCTGCAGGGTTAAAACTAAATACCAACCTTGTGATTGCTTAACTTTCAGCCCTGACATTTAACAGTGCAGGTAAGTTATTATTTTTGCTAACCAGACTGTGTCCTCAGAACAGAACTAAACTCTGAAAATAAGACAAAATGATGACTGTTTTTGGAAATGCAAAACAAACAGAAGGCGAGTGCATTCTCTACTATCATAATGTCATACGTGCCACTTCATCCAGCTGCATTACACACAAATAACCACATTAAAAGTCTTTCCTGAGGTTTGCTTGTTTGTGTTTTCAATGCTGTTTCAATGTTCATTGCAAAATATTTTAGGAAGGATTAACACCAGAGAAAATACCTAGGTAGAAATATTGGCCTGAAGTTTTGAAAATGCCATTGTATTTCAGTGAAAGTATGCAACTTTTGCTCAAGAGATGAGAACACTGCTGGTGCTTTTTCATATCTTTTGCTTTTAAACAGTCGTTGCTTTTCCATCTGCTGTAAGTTAAATAGTAAAACTGCTATTTTCTCACAACCCATATGAAGTTCTCTCTAGTATCCAAAGTCCTCTGGTAAAGATCTAGCCAAAACTAAGGGCTTGATTCTGTGCATACTGAAGTGCAGACTAAAGCTCACAACTGCACTTCAGCCTGGACTGTGATATCTGAAGATTGTTGGGGTTGAGTTTCATAGAAAGTGAGGCTGCAAAGTACACACACAAGTCCATGCTCAAAATGAAATGTGTGGCTACATGTTTTATAATAGGAGACAGTAAAAAGAAATCCTTTAACAGGATTTCCTAAATCAAAAACCATGCCAGAGAGAGAAAAATGGAGAAATGCAGGAGGGGATTAAATGTAGGAACATATTTACAGTTGTATCACTCAGCCATATAGATTAAATGGCATTTAGAGGTGTGTGACACTAGATGTCAAGCAGAAGAGAGCCAAGTATCTCTTGGATGAAAACAAGAGATAAGAAAATACAGCAGGGAAAGGAGAAATCAACAGCCTCCCAGCAAACCAGGCAAGGTCCCAGATCTCAAAGGTGTAAAATAGGAAGTCAAGAGACTAAAAGCTCCCTCCTCCTGCTGCTGTTCATCAGTGGGTAAATCCTCCTGCTTTGGGGCAGTATCAGCAGTGCACTGTTTCACTCTGGGACACAGTCACCAGAATTATGGCCCCTGCCCTGCTCCAGGTCCATTCCTGTGGCAGCAGAGCATGCTGCTCTCTCCTCCACTCGTGCCATGCTATCCGTGCCTCTGGCACTGCTCAGCCCACATGCAGGATGATGCCCTGGCTGCAGGGACACCTCTGCCTCCACCCCATCAGTGTGGCTCCTGCCCACCTGCCCCACAGCTTGGTCTTTACTGTCCCAAAAAGCCTTGGGGAAGGATTTCTGGGGGATTTACACAATCCCTCAGAAAATGTGCAAGGTGTGTTGCTGCAGCCATTCAGCCAGGCAATTTCTCGGTTAGGATGGTACCTGGGGATAAGAGCCCTGACACTGATAGCTGGCAGGAGACATTTAATTCTTGCCTAAACACGACACTTTCATCATGCTGCCTTCTCTCCCTGAAAAAAGAAAACACATTTCAGCTGTGTCCCCCTCAAACTAATATGGGCTAGTTTGTAATTTTCTCATAATGAGGTCAGGCACTTAGCAGGTATGTTAGCTCCTCTATTAAATGAATTAGCTTGACAACTGCTGATTTTTGTGACTCCCAAGTCACTCCAGTGGCATCCACTCTGCTTTTCACATCTTCTGTCACCATCCTCTCTTTGCAGGCAATTACAATTGTCCTATTTCAAATTAGCAGAACAACTCTTACCACAAAATTCAGTAAGAACTGGCTTGAAGCTATTCCTACATGTAAAGATACAGCACGTCACACATTTTATCTACAGCTTCAGTGAACCTCTACAGTTCTCCATTTGGAATCTAAAATTGTTTCACTGTCATTAAAGGAACTGAACCAAACATCACCTCATCTCCTGGAAGCATTACCAAATGTCAGTGGTTGATAGTAAATGTATTCAAGGACTTCTTCATTTATTAATTAGAAACAATTTTTTCCCACTTTGCTAATTTCTTTAATGTATAATTTGGAGCTTTTATATACTAAAAAATGTAAACCAGAAAATTATTCACAGTTACCAATATCTGCATTTGTCTCATATGTGAGTTAGCTGAGAACTTCCCACCCACTCCCCAAGAGGCACATCAACTTAAAAGTTAAAAGAACTAATTAAGTCAGAAAAAATGAAAGGAGAGGAAAAGGCAGAAGTGAGAAAGCATGTATAAACTGTTCATCTAGTGTAGATCATACTGCAGCATGTTCATCTAGTGTAGATCATACTGCAGCATGTTTTTCATGACCCTGGCACAAATAGCAACGCCCATAATGCTCCCAAAATCACCAGCTGATGTTTTGTGAGAGTGCCAAGAAGAACATGAACCCTCACAATCCTTACAATCTCATGAGATTGCTGGGATTATGGTAACAATAAAAAGATGCTTTAGGGGTTACAGTGGTACTGCTGGGTTGACAGTTGGCCTTCATGGTTTTAGAGATCTCTTCCAACCTTTTTTTGGAATTCCCTGATGCTATAGTAGACCCCAATATCTTTACAAGGGAAACAGTCTATTTTGTATATAAACAGGCCTGAAGACTTTATAAAAAGTATAATGAAGCATAAGAGATTTGTCAAGGCCTCAGAAAATCTGAGGCCTGTGACTAAACAAATGAAGGAATAAACAAAAGCAAACACACACCCCCCCATACCAAACACACTTTGTAACTTTCTTAGAAGAATACTAAGAGGGAAGGATCTCTTTATCTGACTTCCAGCCCTGAGCCAGAGGGCATCTTCTTGAAGTGATGTGAAGTCATCTTAGCCCTACTTCATCTCAAAGGCGCTGTTTGTGCAAGTGGTTGCTCTGGTTGTGCAAATTAGAGATGCAGCGTATATTACAATGGATATAAAGTGTAATTCAATTTCCTAGGAAAAATATTTTCCCCTTGGAATGTATAACATACTGGCATGCCTTTAATAGATGGACAGGTTGGAGAAGCATTTTCCCAGGAATACAGAGAGTCTATCTGCACTGGATGAGTGCATCCCAAACAGGCCAGGAAGGAGTGGGACCCAGCAGGTCTGGGCTCACCGTTTGCCACATGCCGTGGTTGATGAGCGGCCCGGTGCTGGTGACGCGGCCCACCCCGCTGTACTTCAGCTGCAGCTCCAGCCGTCCTTTGCGCAAAGCCAACACTATCCATGTGCTGTCTTGATGGCCTCCAGCAAAGAAAAGGATACCTTCAGGATCAAAGGTTCTAAAGTCGAACTCAGCCACAAGTCTGACCGCACAGGTGCCAAGAAATAAATTAGTTATGCAGAGTTCAAAAACCACAGAGTACTTTCCATACAGATAGCATCAATTCTAGCAGCTCTAAAGCTCTGTTAAAATATACTAGCTTTTAATGTACTCCTGAAAGCCTTAAGATGTGAGTACAGCTTTTAAAACATCATCAAGAATTAAGAATACAGTACTATATTTCAGTAATTATCCTAACAGCTCTGTGGTCAAGGCTGCCTTTCTTAATTACTGGTTTAGGTAATGTTTAGCCTAAAGGACTTCATAATCCAAGCAAATAATGATGAATGTAGGGTCAATTATTATTGTAACAATTCCCTTGCATGCATCAAAGCCAGTTAGAGCATTTCACTGTCATTCTAAATTGTCCTCACCTTGTCAGTTGTTTCCTTTTGAAGCGCAGCCTGATAACAGGAGTGCCGCTGAACATCCTCCCCAGGTGCAAGGATTTAATACTCCTTCCAACAGCAAAAGGCACACATGGTATGATGTTCTATAATCAAAACACATTTTTGAGTGCTTATTCTCCTCACAGAGCAGAAAGAGAATCAGAGAGTGCTGTAAAGTAAAGGTCTGTTTGCAGTTACAGCAATGATCAGTGACATACCTCACATGTATTCATGTCCTGGGAAAGCTTCACTCCCCCTCTGCCATCACAATGACAGGTGTAACTCCCTGGTGAATTGACACAGGTCTGTTCACAGAGCTGTTCTTTGCATTCATCTATATCTACACAAGACCAGTGAAGAAGAGAGATAAAAACACTGAGTTTGTTTAAACATGACAGAACTGAGGGAATGGCCTGAAGTTATGTCAGGGGAGGTTTAAGTTGGATATTAGAAAAAGGTTTTTCACCTAGAGGGGGGTTGGACACTGGAACAGGCTCCCCAGAGAAGTGGTCACAGCACCAAGCCTGACAGAGCTCAAGAAGCATTTGGACAATGGTCTTGGGCACATGATGTGACTGTTGGCGATGGTGCTGTGCAGGGCTGGGAGTTAAGACTCTATCCTTGGATCCTTGTGGGTCCCTTCCAACTCAGCTTATTCTGTGAAATCTGTTTTCACAGACAGATTCCAGCTGCCCAAAGATACATAGCAAATCAGTGGGAAGGCTGGAAGTAGAACTCAGCTACTCGTCTGCTGGAGCAGAGCCCTGGGCTTTAACTCCTAGACAAGACTTCCTCCCTTCAGGCCCCTTCTGCTATGCCTGTAGTGACTGGCTTCTGCTCCTTGCAGACAGGGACTGCATATAAAACCCAAGTTTCTCATTTACTGTTTTCTTTTTTTCTTCAGCTATTTTTTATCTTCTTCACAAACAAATGCAGGAAAGCAAACTGTGACAGCCCACAGGGATCTCTTCAGGCAGAGTTTAACACTTAATGCCCAACAGGACAGGTTGGAGTGTGATTTGAATTAACTTAGACAAAAGCCAGGGAACAATGCTGGTTTTGGAATACTTCCAAAACTTACTCTGTTGAGAAAGCTTGCGGCAGTGTAGCCAGCAGAACTCTGCATGGTTCCAGTACATATTAAATTCCTAGTTCAGAGTAATACCACAAGACAGGTTTTGAAAAAAGAGCTACTACTTTGTAACTTTTCTTGTCCTATGAAGAGAGACAGCAACATGCACAGATGCTTCTGAGCTTTCACCAGATTTTGCACTTGTTGAAACTTCAAGAAATCTCAGTACTTTGGCTCATACAGCTCGATTCAAGTCATCAAAGGTGACAGCAAACTCACTGAACTCAAAGATGACAGCAAGCTCAATGAACTCAAAGGTGACCGCAAACTGCAAACTCACTCCTAACTAAGGATAGGGAACAGAACTCCAATGTGTAAGCAAGATTAAAAAAGAAATAAAAAAAGCTTTTACTGAAACTAAATTTCTGGGGTTCGACAGATTTAAATTATATCATAAATGCTAACACATTTCTTGAGCTTACCCTGACAAGTTTTTCTCACGTCGTCGTACTTGTAGCCTGCATCACAAAGACATTCATATGAGCTTACTAAATTTTTACAGTGAGCTTCTCCACAGATGTCTGCTGATGCTGTGCATTCATCTATGTCTGCAAAACAAGCAATTAAACAACACAACTTCAGAGGAGTATAATCACTTCACTCTTCACATAGAGTGAGCTTAGGGCAAGGAGATCCCTGCATTACTTTGAAAACTGAAAAAAACCAGTATCTTTAAGAATCTACTTTCAGGGTTAGCTAGCTATAAGAAGTGACTTCAGGCTTCAAAAATCAGTCTTTTTTACCTTAAGCCATTAAGCACTGTTGGAAAAAGCAATGCAAAGTAAACCAGGAGAAAAACTGGAAACAAAACAACTACCACAAAACCAAAAGGCCCCACTCTCTCCAATCAGGGGACTGAAACTGGAGGTTTAAAAAAAGCAACAGGCAGAAACTTAAGAGCGGCAGCATGAATATTATCCAAAATGCTGAATGAACACTCAGCCTATGGCACTTCAGACATTTCTGCTCTGTGTCCTCAGACAAGCAAACAATACATTTTCATATATTTACAAAGCTAAGATCTAAATCTGCTGGTCTGTAGTGGCAAGGGAGAATTGAAGCAGCCCAATTTGTCCCAGAGAACAAGCCATGCCAGAGAGATGTGGGGTTTTGCCATAAGGGCAGGCAATGAACTGGAACTGGAAGTCCATAAAAAAACCTGATTGCTTTCCTCACATGTTAACTAATACCCTGAAGAATCCTGGTGTTGACAAAACATTTGTAGTGTACTAAGAGTTTAATATTTACTTTTGCTTTCTAGTATGTGTTAAAACTACAATTACTCATTACTCTTGTTGATTTTCCCACGTATGAGTGAACTGGCGGAGTACCCAATGTAGCTTAGCCTACAAATCATGACAGGAGGGAACTTTTGTGTGTATGCCTACAACGACAGGAACAAACATTTAAAAAGTCAAAATGCAATGATAAATCTGAGCTATCAATAACCACACCTGACAGTAATCTCAGCAGCTGGAAGGTCACATATTGAAGCCACTGAATGCTTATATAGCAGTGCTCACAGTGCTCTAGGAGACAGTACTAGGGTGTGGAACAAATGTACACACACAGCAAAACAAACACATATGTGAGCCCCTTGCCAGCCACCTGTCCATGCTGGCTGGCACCAGAGGACAATTCAAAAGTGAAATTCACTTTCTTCTAAGTTGCTGCTCCCGTTAGGAATGGATACCATGTAATCTATACAGTCATCACTTTTTAGAGTGTGAGTGAAATAGAAACAAAATCTTTCTCTTTTTCTTTTTGCTGGTAGCATTAATAAATTGTTCAGATCATGTATGCGAATTGTTTAGAAATATGTCATCACATCCATCTCTAAGAGAGATATACCTGTTTTTTCATTATCATATATACCTTTTTCATAAGATGAACATAACTTCAACAGCCACCTGTTGTTAAGTTACTGAGTTTGTCTCAGCATGCAGTCTCTTAACACTTTTAAAATCTCAGTTGCTTAAGTTTTGGTTATGTAAATTCATTCAGCAGTTTCAATCAGAAACTTCAGGTCCTCATTTTCTGTTCTCAGCTGGTATGTAAAATAGCTGCCAAATTTTGCTAGGGCCTTTCTACACCTATTAATATTGAGTTGCAGTGAATTTAGCCATCTGTATCTATCTGAATTCATTAGCTGCTGCACACATACAAATCTAAAACAATAAAATAAGAAACACACAAAACAAAAACAAATGGCTCACATACTACAACACTGTGGGACTGGAAAGAATCATAACAACACATCTGGCCAGCACTTCCTCCTAGCAATGTCAGGATATGAGGACTGATCAACTAAACCAACTTAGCACAATCCAAGCCACAAATCCTCTGTGAATCACACCTCTGTTATGCTCTTGAGAGCATCATGGTCCAACTGCTGACAAGCCCAGGCATGTAGGCTGGCTGGAGCACCCAGCACAACCCCAGTGGAGTAAATCTAAGAGGAGCTACCAGCAAGTTTCTGCTGGGCTAGGGAGCAGACCAGGACTGCTCAGGGCAGCCCAGCTCTCCAAAATACAGACACAAGTCATGAAGCAACCCCCTGAAGTAAACTGAGAGTCCCAGCAAAGCTTACCTTCACATATTTTGCTATCTTTAAGAGCATAACCACTGTAGCATGAGCACCGGTAGCTGCCTAGCTTGTTGAAGCAGAGCTGGTTACAGCCGCCGTTCTGCGTTCTGCATTCATCGATATCTACATCAAAAGAAAGTGTCACAGTCAGCTGTTCACATCTGTAAATAATCTACAGGGTCACAGTGCAACAGGCATTGGGAAGGAGAAAGACCAAACAAGAAACAGTATTACAGATGCAACAAGTGATAACAAAAAGCACAAAGATTTCTTTCAAACACTTCATGCGTATAAGCTCAAGTTTGTTTAACTTACAAAAAAAAAAAAACAAAAAAGGAGAGAGAAGGATCTGTAACTGAAGAGTATCTCCTTCACAGCTGAGAATACATAAAAGTATCTTTAGTCACTGTGGAGGCAAAGAAGCTTGTTTGCAGAAGCAAACTACTTATGTTTTTTATATCTTAACTAAGTACTAAAATTATGCTATGGCCAGTAATTCAGGACAAAAGCTTTAAATGAAACAGGAACACTATATTGTTACTATTACAGAACTCAATGAGAACAGAGGAAGTTCCAAGTTCACACATGCTGAACATTTGTGGGCTTAACTGTCCCCCACTGAAATTGGCAGCAAAAGCCTGTAAAATCCAGCAGAGCCTGAGTTTCACCCTCCATCTACCCTACCTGCTCATTATGTCCTGCTTGTCTATGGGACTCCAGAGTTAGCTGATGGGTAGAACAGCATGTCATGACATTTTATAAGAAAATAAGGAAATATGCTTCAGACTGATCAGTGTCTGAGCTCTCAAAACCAACTGGATACTGACTGGTCTGCTTTCTGAATTGATTAAATAAGATGCTTGAGTGATCCTATAAACTCAACACAATATTTACATGAGAAGGAAAGGCTTGGATCTCCTGCTGTCTTGGTTGCCACAATTCTGGACTGGCTGAATACAATTCTAGTCATTACTTACTACTGACAAGCAAAAAAGCAGTGGCCCTGACAGGAAGCCTTGCAGGCAGAAGAAGAAGAACCAAAGCAACCAGAAAACAAGAGGAGGGAAGATAACTTGTAGAGAAAACTCTGTGGGCAGCTGGAACTTCTTGCATGAATAGTTTCTGTCTGAAATTCTCTTTTGAGGTGATGGAAATACATCAATGGAATATGTGGAATTAAGTGGACATGGAATAAGGTCAGGCTAGCAAGGAAGCTTCAACAGACTAATTTTATCAATCTGTGTGTCATCAGACTCAAACCTCAACTTGCCAACTGGAAGCCATTGTTCCCACTGCAGGGATGCTAGATGGGAAGATGGGCCAGCTTCTCTGGCTCTGTGGTCTGTGATCTGTTACACCAGGGTTTACAGCAGCAGCTGATGCAGATGCAGCTCTGCTTGGAAAACCACTACTACTCCATTTCTGCTGCTGCTTTCAGAGGGGTGGAGCAGAATGTTGGACCATAACTTCTTGGATTACCTTGCCAAGACCAAGCTGAGCTCCATTAGAGTCATATAAAAAAGTTGATGTGAAAAACTACCTGTTTCCCAGAAGGGTAAAAACATGAACAGTGTGTAACCTAGGTTCAGTTCTGAGACTGCTGAATTGTGCAGCACAGTATCAGTGACCATTTGAGAATACAGCAAAACCAAAAATATCTTTGTAACAAGAATAAAAGATAATGAAACCAAATTACCTTTTTCACATTTCTTTCCCTGCCAGCCACGTTTGCATTCACAATAAAAGTCCCCCTTGAGATCCTCGCATTTGACGGTCCCTTCTTTGTGGCAAGGATTGGGAGAACACTGGTTTGGCAAATCTGATTTACACAAGGAATAAAAAAACAAAAACAAAACAGAACAATACATTGAAATCACTGGCAACCAGGTGTTTCACTGTCATTAGAAGATGGGAAGCTTAAACAGTATTGGGGAATCACTCAAAAATACTAGCACCTGGCAAAACTATAAGCTGATTCTTAGTGCTCACATGCCAAACAAGCTGTGCCAGGAATTTTACAGAGCACATGCAGTGGAATTCACTTAATTGCAAAAGAGAGTGAGCTACCACCCCCATATCTGAAGGACACATCCTGAAAGAAACAACTCAAAGTAGATTATTTTTCTACTCTCACTAATTTTTGAGAAAAATAGAAAAAGCAGTATCAACTAAAGTGCTCAAGAAAGGATGGGTACTCTTTTCAATCACCTTTGCTAATTAAACTGAGGATCTTACCAGGGCTGATAGATTTCTAGCTAGCAAAAGTTTTTAAATGAAATTTTTGATAGATCTTTTCTATTACATAGAATGAAAATAAAAAAGGAATACCCATATATCAACAGCCAAAGAATAGCAAACCATTAATGCAGTTTACAAAGAGCACAATGTTCATATGGGGATTTTTAAGCCAAGTTCCAGGATTTGGCAATGAGTTTCCTCATTGGAAAGAAGCAGGGGAGTAGTCACCACACTTTGGGAATGACTGAAGGAATAAATCTCAAAGTGTCATGTAGCCACCCACCAACTGTAGTCACCTGTCCAAATTCACCTACCCACTTACCTGCACAACACCCAGGGACAGTGCTTCACAGAGGTGGCTAAAGGAAGGATGAGAGAACACCCTTGTTTCCACAAAAAATGAGTTGGTAGCTAACCCGTAGTAGTAACCTGTTAACACCAGTATTCTAGATCAGTGCTCTTCAAAAACATGAATGTATTAATTGTTTCCATAACTTTAACCACAAGGAACAGTGCAGGAGCTCGTTCTGCAGATTGAAAAGCTCAAGAGCCTTTCTTTTCACATATCTCTTCCCAGCATTTGAAAGTGCCCAGTGTGTACACACTGAGTGAGCAGCAGCAGAAAAGACCTGCACTGGTTTCCATGCACTGGTTCTGCTGAGTCCAGTATGGACTCTTGATATTCTACACATGACAGGGAGGCTTTTAGGAGAGGAACTCTTCGTAGATTAGCAGCCCCATCAGACTTCTCAAACTGCGAAAAGTTAAGACTCCTACAATTGTCAGGATTATTATACTGCTACATGTCTCTTCTCAGCTTCCTCTGTGTGATCCTGAAAGTCACTGTCATGACAAGCTGCTTTGAAAGAACTTGAACACTTCTGTGAGTGCAGGCAGTAGCAGCTCCATTTGATGTCTCATAAAGCACTGAACAGCACTTTTGTTTGCACTGACTGTCTTGGACTTAAATCTCAGGTGATTGAGGTTGGCAGGCACTCCAAGGTCACTTGTGCCACCTCCCTGCTCAGGCAGGGCCACCTACAGCTCAGGACCATGGCCAGAAGGCTTTTAATTATCCCAGGGATGGTGACTCCACAAGCTCCCTGGGCAACCTTTCTCACAATGAAAAAGCATTTCCCCATGCTCAGAGAAAGCCTTCCAGATGTGCAGAGCTGGGGCAAAGGCACAGCCACAGAGGCCAGGCCACACAAAACAAAACACAGCTACATGGGCAGTCTTAACATCCACCTGCCAGAACAGCTCCCACTAAATCCCAGCCCAGCTGACACATGGCTGGAGGAGGAGGAGCTGGGGAAGGAGAGGCCAGGTTAAGGTGGCAATGAGCCACAGCAGAGCAAGCCTGTCCTGGATGTTCCTTGTCCTAGACACATCAGAATGTTTACCTTAAACAGAATGGTTTAGGTATACCTAAGGCAAGGATTATTTGTTTTTTTTTAGCAGCACCCACCAAGCTTCCTAAAGATGGCAGTGTTTTCAGTCATTTGATAAGCAAATCAAATAAACAGGGTTATGCACAACTTATCTGGTGTATCCACAAGTTTCTGACTCTTCCTCTCAAACTGGATTCTGACATACCTTGCAGATTCACATGGTAGTAACAATGCCCAGCAGGGTAATAACCCATGGTGTAATGGGTATCAACCACATGGATATCAACCACAGAGATTTCTATCACATCAGCACTGTGCTGATTGTTTGCTCCCTCTTATCACAAGAGTTTAGAACATAAGTCACACTCTTAACACTCTTCTGGTGGCTTCATAGAAGGTGCTCCTGATTGAAACCATTGCAAAAGAAAAAACCTAAGCTTTTGTTTCCATTCATTTACATGACAGATTTTAGCAAAGCTGTTAAAAGTAGTGATGAGCATGACCTTTTCATGTGCTTTGAGCTATGTCTGATAGCACCTATGAAGCTTATAAGTGCAGACTCAGAATAGAACTACCAATTCCATCTTTGAGATCTGTATGGAAACAAGACTTTTCTTATGCCTGCTGACTGTCATTTTCAGTTCATTACTTTGTTCTGTGAACTTAATTTTTGATACCCAAAAAATTGTTCATATTGAAACTCCATAAAATGCTAGGCTGCAGATAATATTACACTCAGTAACTTAATAGTAAAAAGCAGGCACATATGACCTAACAAAAATATCATTGAGTTTTTTGAGGCCAATTTATTTCCCAAAAGTCCTGCAGAACTTTCCAAAGCCTTGCAGAACCAAATCCTTAATCCCTAGATGACCTGCAGTATCTCTTTTAGAAAAAGACCCAGGTATGCAGAGAAAGTATAGGTATCCATGTATAAAGTAAGCATCTATCTGTAAAGCAATTATAAACACTCATTGCAGTCAGTGGAGATAGTACAATAAACAGAGTCTGTGGAGGGACCCAGGTCTCCTCAGAGCAGACACAGTTTGGCTGGGTGAATCCCTCTAGAACCAGAGGAGATTAACTCTCAGCTAACTCTGGTGGGAATACTGCTCATGTAAGCACCCATGATGGAAATATCTATTTACACACTGTATCAACTCCTCTGAATCTAGAGGGGAATCCTAGTAGTAACCTCATCTTAAGAGTTTATGAAATTAGGAATCCTCACATATTCCATCTAACCTGCCTAATCACTGTCATACTTAAAATTTCTGCCTTATTTCCAGTATAAACTTGTGCAGTCAATCACCCTCCAGTCCTCAGGCTGTTCAGTAGCTTTGTACACCGGGTTAAAAGAACATTCCACTGCCTTGTTTTGAGAGGAGAAAGGCTGTTAGGAAACAAAGTTTAGAAGTGTCTTGCAGGCACAAACCCATAGAGCTACAGAGTCTTTTGGCAGCATCTGTGAAAAATTAAGAGACACACTAGAACTGGCCAAGCACGAAGCCTGTCATTCTTCCAAGCGTGTTTCAGGCTCCTTCTCTGTTACTTCTCTTATGAACTGATGATGGCTAGCCAAAACTCAACCATTTAAATACCTGTTAATATTTTAATGGGGGAAAATATTATCATTTTCTTTCCAAACCACTGTATCTGCAATGGGCAGAAATCTCTAAAAACAATTATTCAGCTTTTATTTTTTCAGATTTTTTTCATCGCTACCCTTTAGACTCTAATTTCTGAGACCCTGATCAGTTGTTTGGAACAAGTGTTCCCAGTCACTATCACCATTTTCAGCAGAAACTCCCGCCTCTTTGCTGTGCCACATGCACAAGTAAATGTAAGCATTCAGCCTCACATCCCACTTTGGACAAGCTGGCATAGTGCAGCCAACACAGGTACCACAGGTTGAGAATTCCCAGTTCAAAGGACTCAACATCCATAAGTGATACTGCTGCAATATGTGAGGGAAATTCTTCACATACCACTTATAACCTTGGAATTCAGTCTTTAAAAAGGTTGTTTTAATGCAGTTTATAAATGTAAAAAGTTAACTAAAGGCAACTAGAAAGGTATTAGAAGAATTAATTGAATTTTCTTCTCCAGTGTGAGTGAAGGACAAAAAAAAACCCCTTCACCCTCTACAAAGTTATCAGTTTGGCTTCTAAACTGATTTGAGCTTTTAAAGGTAGCAATATTCAAAGCATAGTCACATGATACATTAAACTGATCTCTTAAAGCAAAGAAGGCTGGCACAAGCCTGGTTTGACTTTAAATTTTTCTTGAGGTTCCTTAATGGGATAAGCGAAAGCTAGCATTCAAGGGAATAGAAAACAAGGGGCCAACCATTGTGTACCTTATGCCTTATGGCACCTCCTAGTTCTTGTCCCTCTTGCTTCTCATATTATTCAAACTTTGGGAAACTGGTGGGAAAGAAACTTGCATCATAAAATATCAAAGCACTAAAACATGACAGCAAGATGGCATCAGGTTATAAAATGGGAAAGATTTTGTTTAGTGGTATGGAATCTTAAGCCTGGAGAATAGGAAGATCAGTATTGAAATACTACCAAAACCAGAGATGGCTGAGCTAGTCCAACACCTTCAGGTAGAACGAGAGAACATTTAACTACAATATAAAAACCAAAAATGCTTACTATGAACACATGTAAGGAAATCTGGATTTCTCTTATACGGCGACCCATATTTCTGAATACAAGCTGAAAAACAGAAAATGAAATTGTTATTGTTGCAGTGGTGAAGGACAGCTGTTCAAAGCATGTAAAATGATACCTGGCCTGTAAAGATTTGGAAGGTGATGCAAAATCTATCCAATATTATCATCTCCCAGATGCCTTGAAATTCTGAAGTTCATTGAAATCTTTTAGCTTTGATGTACAACAGTTGAAAGCCATTTGAAGAAGATGATCACTTAACCAGATGCTACTATGATTCTAAAACTATGATAGTAGCTACTCCAATTTGACCATCTAAACTTCTTAAAATATCTAAAAAGCACGTTTTTTTTTTCTCCCACTGTGGCATTTGTAATCTTAAATACATAATTTTTAACACAAATAGAGAACAGTATGATGCCATGACTATGATACAGTCAATAGAATAAGCCAGTAGTTCAACTGGGCACCTGTTTCTTTTTTAAAAGGAGATGACTTAAAAACTAACTTCATTAAAAAGGGAAAAAGGTAGAAAACTACAAATTATTTCATAACACTGCAAGTCACAGATATATATGCACATCAAGATTTTAACATGCAGGAAACACATAAAGTATCTCTGTCTGCAAATGTACACATAAGTAAAAACACACACCCCAAAGCACAATAAGGAACATAAAGTCTATCTTAAAAGTTAGCAATGCATGTTTATTGCAATCAGATTTCCACCCCTTTCCTTAGCAGAGACTTCAGCTGTGACAAGCTCCAGTGTTAGGCACATACCAGCACTCGCACAAAGTGGAAATAAAAGCTGCAACTCACCCAAGTATTTCGGGTAAAAATATTCCTGTAGAAGGGAAAAAAAGCACAGATTTATTGAATCGTATTTGCTTCTATTTTCATGCTATTTAAGAGCTGCTTTAGTGGTCTTGTATGGCAGCTGTTCAACAATTCCAAACACCTAATTTCCTTTTATTCAGAACCAGAAGCAGCACAGTATTAAACATGCATTTTGTCATTTGAAAAGCAAAGAAACATTAGTTTGTCTCAAGGTATTTTTTGATGGCAGCTGATCTGGTCAGTGACTGAGCATGAAGACACCCTCCAAGAGATAAAGCTGCTGCTGATGGCATGAGGTAGGGGAAGGAATTGGAATATGGGATAAAACCCTAGAGGGAAGAGTACAGGATCCTTCAGTCACCCTGTGCCTCCTCGAAGGCATTCTGCTGATGCAGGACATGAGCACCACAGGCACTAGGAAAGTACTTTTTGCTCTTGCAAGGAGCACCCTACAACTCAAACAGCACCCATTACTGTACCACATATCACATCCCGGGTGCTCAAAGAAGGGAACAATGATGCTTTGCAAGAGGGGGGAAAATTGACATCCATTTCTCTAAAACCACGCTGCAAAAGGCATTGCCATTCCTCTCATGCTACATGGTCACACATTACTGTTCCCTACTCTGCATCAACAAAGTGCAGCCATACAGTGAGAGCAGCATCACTGTGCTGCTGTGATGTGAATCCAGCCTTGCATGCTAGAATAGTCAGCCTGGTGAGGCCTGGCAAGCCACATGACAGCTTGCACCAACACAGGGAAACAGCAGAAAAATGCAGTTGTGCTGCATGGAAGAATGGGAAATTGGCTGAAGCTGACAATTGTATCACATTCTTAAAAAAATACAAAACTTCATGGCCAGGAAAAAAGCATTTTTTTCCACCTTCATTCTGGTTTTCATAATATATGTCACTAATTCAAGCACAGTTAAAAATGGTAATTGGGGTATTGAATGAGGAAAAACTTATGCATTGTATCAGTGCTTAATTTTTTTTAATAAACCACTTCTCAGCTAATTATGAAAGCATATGCACAGTATAATTTTCTTTTATGCAAGAGGAGCAATTTCCATATAACATTATATTCAGTGAGATTGGGACAGTAAATACCCTGCATTCTACAAAATTAAATTGGTCTATACAATGTGCAAGAGAAGAAACTGTTTTATCTTCTCCTCTTATTGCAGATGTTTGGATTGGATCTATACAGGCATATATAAACAACAGGGACAGGCACACACCATGGTTCAGTTTGATCTGGACTGTCCAGTGCAATCAATTGCACTGCTGTCATTTACCAGAAGAATCAATTGCTTCTGGCAAATATGCTCCAGTTACTGAAATGCACCATGTAAATAGTCAGCCTAAATTATGAGAGCATCAGCAAAGAAGTAGAAGCAGCAGCTTACACTAATGTTAATTTTCAATTCTGATATGAGAGTGATATTCTTGGCATCTTTTGGGGCTGAGCTTTGAAATGATTCTTCAGCTTGAAATGTGTCATCAGAGTGATGAGCTCAGAACCCACTATGGTCCTTGTTCACTCTTTTTCTTTTTGTTTAAGGTTTAGTTTGGAAAAGACAAGTCAAAAAATACAGTCAAAATAAAAATAAATCTAAGCAATCTAAGTATTCAGATGGGTGTCCATATGTGCTATAACCACTATCTGAACTTCAACTAGCACTTGAGGAGAAAAAGATAGGGGCATGTAACAAAATATTCCAAACATTTCTTTCATTATTTCCCCTTTGTTCCACGTACTTCACAAGAATGTGCAGATGTATTTAACCACCAATGGATAATCCAGACTCTGACAAGAACAACTATTTTGGCACTGACAGGACAATAAATAGGTGCTTTCATATTCATGGCTATCAGCCTAATTGCTCCATGTCAGTGGTGGCAAAGGCATTTTCTCCTTGACCTCTGATGAATGAGTTGAGTGCTTGAAAAGTGGTACAGAATTTACTTTTGTAAACATAACTTCCAAACTCAAACTGACTGTGTATTGATTCGATGCCAGTTGAACAGCAGATAAGTGAAACTCCAATGCATTGTACCACCACAAGCTTCATTCCACAGAGTATGCAGCCAAGTGATTTAAACAGGAGGCTATTACTAGAAATTTAGCTCTTCTTTCCCTTTCTCATTTGCTTATTTATACAAAGGCACTTGCTGATCAGTAGCACTTCTCCAGGTTTACAAAACCTGCTGATACTACTCTTCTAAAATAAAGACACGTGCTCACAGGCTTTAACATTGCTCATTTTTGTATGATTAGCTTTTCATTTCTTTCTATAATCAATATTTCTTACAGCTAGCTTCTGTAAATACAATGACAATGCATTTACATTCAGAGAAAAGACTGATCAGGAATGAAGGATGAATGATCTTACACCTTGAGAAAAGGAACCTACTTAAACTGCAGTCCCTTTTCAAAAAACACTGATGAGAAGTTTTCTCAGTTAAAAATTCGAGCAGCACCTAACCTGATACAGATACACATTATTTCTCATGTGACACTCAACTCTTCAATGTCTTTTCAGTTTTCTGTGATGTACTAAGGTTTAATGACCCCCAGATGTCAGAGAAAATGAAAATCCTACACAGGGTTAGGTCCCTGTTAAAAGTGTGCAACTCATCTTCTTTCTACTAGAAGTGTTCAATTGTATTTTCAGGATTCTAAAAAAATGCCAAGAGAAATGCTTTGAGGCTTGCTAAGAAACAGTTGGCAAAGATTCTCTGTTACTATTTTGCTGATTTCTCAACAAGCCACTTTCAATTTCAGGCTCAATAAACTTCTCACCATCCAGAAAGTCACACTCTGTTCACAGGATCAAAACACAGGAAGTTATTTAACTGTTACCACTAGGGTGGCAAAAATCACCACAGAATTATGTAAGTGTTAAATTTTCAGCTTGGATTCTGACAAAAAAGGTCAGCATTTAAGTGTGGTCAGCCCTTCCCCTTTAGATCTGCTTCCTAATTACTGCTGAAAATAAAAGCAATAGCAATTGGCTTTATAAATAAAAAGCTATAAACACATACATGCTGGACATAAACATCCTCTGGACAGGCTGCTGCACAGACACTGACCTCACCAAGCTCTCTAATCCCTCTGTCCAGTAGTAATGTCCCAGTGCTGGCAGAAGGAAGACAAAGGCTGCAGAAGCTCTGACCTCCACAAGAGACCAAACACCACAAATGCAGCCTCAAAATTCCAACCTCTGTGACTGTTGCCAAGAAAACTTAAATGTATTTCCACCTCTCTTCTTTGTGACCCAGCAAACTTTCTGTCTGGTTTCCACCTTTCAACCAGTATAGCTGGGATGGCAATAGTCAAGGGCCTGGCAGCAGGACACTGGCAGCCTGTGGTGCCCTGGTAACATGAATGGTCCTTTTGTAAATTACATCTTCTTTCTGCTGCCACTACAGGCCAAACTTGTAGTATGAGCTGTAACTCACCCACGAGTTACACATCATGTACCACCCAAAGCACAGATCAGCAGAGATCTCAGGTAAAGAGGAAGAAACAGGAGAGACTGGGAAGTGCCTGAGATGCACACATCTCCACCCTTTTGGTGAGGTGGAAAGCAGGGCACCAGGCCAGCCTCTCCAGGCAGGTCCTGGCTTGCTTATATCAGCTCAGTTCCAGAGATCTTTCTCTTGCTGCCCAAGAGACAGATCTGTGCTTTAATAGAAAAGATTTAAGCTCTACAGCCCCCACTCATCTCACACAAATATATGTACATGCTGGAAGCAAGTCTTCTGATGCGTTAAACGCAATTATTTGCTTCCACAACAGTGTTGCAAGATTTGAGAGTGCATGCTTTTATTTCAAGGCAGAGTGACACCAAGCATGGGCATAAGAATTCTATTCATGGGGCTAAGGTGTTCCTCTCCCACCTGCAGCTGGAGCTTACTATTACCCTGATAAAACAGCTACTACAACACTTAGTCTGGATACCTAAGAGAGCATCATTTTAAAAGTGACCTCAAAAAAACTAACCCAAGCAAACAACCCCCCCAAAACTCCAGGTTGTTCATTTTTATATTTGGCTTTTTTCCTTCCAAATGATAAGAACAATTTCACTGGGGCCACCCCCACAATGTCTCTCATTGAAACAACTGAGGAGAACAGCAACATGAAGGTAAGAATTCACAGCTGTGGAGTGGAAGGGGCAGAACACCTATGTCAGCCTCCCTGCCAAAGGAAACCTGCACTGGGACTGGGGTCACCATCTATTTTCAACTCTATGGTCAAAGTCCACAGTAGTAAAATCCAGAAGTTACTGTAATTATATAGGGTATGCATCAGTCCTTCTTAGAGAAGATGGAAAAACACCAAATCAGAACAGGCGTTAACATGAGTCACTGTACAAAAATAGCCCTTCTGAAAACATAACAATGACCCTGTCAACACCAGGAAAATGTTCTCACTGGTGCTTTACTTTAAAGTAATTGGTAACACTGGAGACCTCAGAAAAAAGGGCCTGCTTACTGCTTCTGTTTATTTTGCTTGAGTAGCAGGTCAGGTAAGACTGTAAGGCACAGAATCTTATGAAAATCATGTTTGAGCTCTAGAGGCCACAAATAAAAGGTGTAGTTTATAGGAAGGCTGCCCATGTTTCTGGACATCTGGCTCCTGGTGGCCCTGCTTGGACAACGAGGATGGACCACAAGGCCTCCAGAGGTGCCTGCCAACCTCAACCAGTCCGTGATTCTGTGACTGCAGTGCCACTAACACTGGAGCATTTCACCGACTTGTGTTAGCAACAGTGATTTCAAAAAAGCACTTTCTTAGTTACCTAGTTACATCTAAGAGAGTAGCAACAACTCCCACATTATGCCCTTTCCTCATTTCCATATAATGACTCTCCCTTTTCCTCTTTCCTTCAGGACTGAATGTTTGTCTTGGGCATAGCCAGACCTCACTTATAAATATTCTTCATGTTTCCACACTATGGGCTTGCATTATCCTTGAAGAAATCACTGCTACCAACCATA